GCCGCCCGCGGATCCCGGAGCCGCGATGTTCCCCAAGGAGGCCAAGTGGAACATCTCGTTCGCGGGCTGCGGCTTCCTCGGCGTCTACCACATCGGCGTGGCCTCCTGCCTCCGTGAGCACGCGCCCTTCCTGGTGGCCAACGCCACGCACATCTACGGCGCTTCAGCCGGGGCGCTCACGGCCACGGCGCTGGTCACCGGGGCCTGCCTGGGTGAGCGGGGCCGCGCGGGGCCAGGGTAGGGAGCTGGTGGGGAACGCGCGGGGTCCGGCGGGAAGGAGGAGGGGCCGGGCGGGATGCCCTTCGTGCGCGCACTGCGCCCACCCCCTCCCGCAGAGGGAAGCTGGCCAGGCGGTGAGTGCAGTGCGTGCGGTGGAGCGGGGTTTCTGCCTGGGCCGGGGACCACGGCAAAGGGTCCGGTACGGGGAGCTGGTCTGGGGGCAGAACCTGGTTTGTTTTGCTCGGAGGGTGCCCAGGGACTGGGGTGGGGCCTGGCCTGCACCAGGGCATGGCTGCTGTGAGCCTCGGGCCCGCCTCCTGGGAGTGAAGGTTGTGGGCGGGCAGGTGCAGCACCGCTGTCTATTGGAAAGAAAAGTCGTGGGCGGGACGTGAGAGTAGGAGGAGGGTCTGAATCTCCCTGGTTACTTGGTGCCAGCGGTCACCGTGTCCTGGGTCTTCGCAGTTTCAGGCTGCCTTGGACAAGGGAGTGCCTAGTATGAAGGTGGCTTCCGAGGGGCTTCTAGGCACTGTGACCTGGTCTTTTCTGAGAGCCCCTGGAGGAAGAGGCCAGTCCTGATCAGGGCTGGACCTGGTCAGCGACTCTGCCCTCTCCTGGTCCGCAGAGCCCTGCCAGCCCGGCTTCTCAGCTGTGGCCAGTCGTTTTGCCCATCTCACAGGTGGGTATGCTTCCTGACTCAGGAGCCCTTGGTCAGAAGCGCAGGGGTCTGTATGAGCCGGGCTGGGCCTCTCTCACTTCCGGGCTGCCACGTGAGAGAGGTGTTTACAGCACACAGCGTTCCCAGCAATCCTGGTAACTGCTGCCCAGCCCCCAGACCGCTAGGGCAGCCAAGGTGACAAGGACGCCATGCCCCAGAGGAGCTGATCTAGGGTCTCCACTGTCCCCTGCCTGTGACCTTTGCCCTGAGAAGGAAGGTAGAAGAAAGACCTGGGATTCATGTCCTTGGAATTGTGCTCTGCCTTGGAACAGACTGCTTGCTGGTCTCAGGCCTGTACCCTACTTGACACCCTTGCAGCAGAGCCTCTTCTGCCAACAAGCCTCACAAATGGTGTTGGGCACTAGAGCCTCCCCCCCCCCCCATTTTGGCAGGTACCTGTTGAGAGCACCTGGCACACAAGTCCCACTCCTGCCCAGAAAGACATCCTGGAGGAGAGCCTAGTCCTTGGCTTTTCCCCTGGCTTTTTTGGCATTTTCTTGGGTCAGCTCTCAAGGGAAGTGTTGGCATGCTTGCTTGTGGCTGCAGTGGAACACATCTTGTCCTCCCAGATAGGCCCACTGCCTTCAGCCCTGTGCCCTGAGGCCTGTGACCCTGGCTGGGCTGAGCTGTGGGTCTGGTTCCCTTTTCAATCTGGCCAAGTAGGTGAAGGCTAAGGCCAGTCAGAGTTACCTCTGCCTTCTGCCCTCTCCTGGTTGCCTGCCATGCCACACTACGCCAGTCCAATGACTCATGGGGACAGGCAGTTGGGAAATGCTGGGCAGAGGGCAGGTCCCAGCCCCAACTGGCCACCTCTTGCTGTCCACTATCTCTGAGGTGTTGGCCTGCCTGCCTCTACCCAGAGACAGATAGCAAAAGTCTCAACTGTGGCCAAATACAGTGTCTGGGAATGTGGGAAGCTGAGGCAAGAGGATTGCAAGTTCAAGGCCAGCCTTGACAATTCAGTGAGACCCTCCCTATACCAGAATAAAAAGCTAAAAGGGCTAGGGATGTAGCTCAGTGGTAGAGCACAGCTTGTCTAATACCCAGTATTGGGAAAAATAAATAAATATGTACTTTTAAAAGTCTTAACTGTGGGGCCGGGGCTGTGGCTTCGTGGTGGAGGGTGCGCCTAGCATACATGGGGCACTGGGTTTGATCCTCAGCACCACATAAAAATTTTTTAAAAAATGATATTGTGTCCACCTAAAACTAAAAAATAAAAATTGAAAAAAGTCTCAACTGTGTTTGGGGCTGGGGCTCAATGGCAGAGCTCCTGCCTAGCACATGTGAAGCACTGGGTTCGAGTCTTAGCATTGCATACAAAAAAATAAGCAAATAAAATAAAGGCATGCTGTCCATCTACAGCTACAAAAAAAAAAAAAAAAATCTCAGCTGTGAGCCAGGCCATGTCTGGGCACTGGGGGTCCTCTAGGGTCAATGGTGATGTTTGGAATGTGTGTGCTGGGGAACCCTGAGCATGGAGCCATAGGGGTGTTGCTGGCTCTGACCTGGGCCCTGCTGCCCCAGGCGAGGCAGGTGCCAACATCATTGAGGTGTCCAAGGAGGCCCGGAAGAGGTTCCTGGGTCCCCTGCACCCCTCCTTCAACCTGGTGAAGACCATCCGTGGCTGTCTGCTGAAGACTCTGCCGGCTGATAGCCATGAGCGTGCCAGTGGGCGCCTGGGCATCTCTCTGACCCGTGTCTCAGATGGAGAGAACGTCATTATAACCCACTTCGACTCCAAGGAGGAGCTCATCCAGGTGGGTCCTGCTGGGGCCACGTTGTGGGGAGCAGTGTGGCCCAAGGCGACTGCTCACCCCCTCCTGTTCTGCCCTGCAGGCCAATGTCTGCAGCACGTTCATCCCCGTGTACTGTGGCCTCATTCCACCCTCCCTCCAAGGGGTGGTGAGTATGCCCACCTGGCCCACCTAGCCCTGTCAAGGGCGCCCTTTGGGGCTGAGGAGATCCAGTGCTGTCTGGGCTTTGGGAGGAAGGGGTGGAGGAGGGAGGACTGTAGAGCCCCGTCCGCTCCATCATCTCTCTGCCTCTACCCATTGCCTCATTTCCCTTGTTACTTAAGAAGCTGACCAGCCCTGGGGACATGCTTCCTGTGGCTGCCCCCTCACTGTCTGGCCATCTACTCAGTGCCCAAGCCAGCCCATGGACAGTGCCCAGTGTGAAAGGCCAAAAGAAATTGCCACTGGGTGGGGAAAAGTCCCTCAGTTTGTGACCATGCGTCTGTGTCCCTGTGAAGCGTTATGTGGATGGCGGCATTTCAGACAACCTGCCACTCTATGAGCTGAAGAACACCATCACGGTGTCCCCCTTCTCGGGAGAGAGTGACATCTGCCCACAGGACAGCTCCACCAACATCCATGAGCTCCGGGTCACCAACACCAGCATCCAGTTCAACCTGCGCAACCTCTACCGCCTCTCCAAGGCCCTCTTCCCTCCAGAACCCATGGTGAGCCGCTCTGTGGGGCTGTGGCCTGTGCTTTCTCCAGCCGGGACCCTGGGCTGGATCTGAGATGGTTGGTGGAGGCGGAGGTTGGAATGGAGGTGCGGTGGTAGGGACATAGAGACTCTGTGGAGGACAGCACAGGGCACCCTTGGCTCCATTTGCTCCAGTTCACCTATACCCCTGCTGCAGGTACTTCGAGAGATGTGCAAACAGGGCTACAGGGATGGTCTGCGCTTCCTGCGGAGGAACGGTGCGTGGGTAGCTATAGGATGGGTGGAGCCAGCTCTGCTGCCCACTGCAGGCCAGCAGTGACCATGACTGTGGTGATCACTTTTCTGTCGCACCCCCACCTCCATCCCAGGCCTCCTGAACAGGCCCAACCCCTTGCTGGCACTGCCTCCCACCCGCCCCTGTGACCCAAAGGAGGAAGACACCCAGGAGGCTACTGCGGTCACAGAGAAGACTGGAGCAGAGGACCACTTGCAGCCACCCAGGGAAGATCACATCCTAGACCACCTGCCTGCCCGGCTCAATGAGGGTACTCACTGGGAGAGAAGGGAGGAGGAGGGGCTGGCAGTGTGGAAGCCTGGCACAGCACACTGGGCTGCTCTGCTTCCCTGACTGGCTGCCCTCATCCCCTGCACAGCCCTGCTGGAAGCCTGCGTGGAGCCCAGGGACCTGATGACCACTCTGTCCAACATGCTGCCAGTGCGTCTGGCCACAGCTATGATGGTGCCCTACACGCTGCCACTGGAGAGTGCTGTGTCCTTCACCATTCGGTGCGGGCAGGGAACCAGGGCTGGGAGAGGGGAACTGGGGTCGCCCAGGAGGGATGCTTAGGCTGGGGAAGCTGGGAGGGCCTGGACACAGAGGCTGAAGGTGTGTCTTCCTGACCCTCCAGCTTGCTGGAGTGGCTGCCTGATGTTCCAGAGGACATCCGATGGATGAAGGAGCAGACGGGCAGCATCTGCCAATACCTGGTGATGCGTGCCAAGAGGAAGCTGGGCAGCCACCTGCCCTCCAGGTGAGCCACCCCTGTCCTCAGGCCCAGAGCCTTTGGGTTGAGGGACCCCCACTAAGCCCTGCCTACCTTTGATGCCTTCATTACAGGCTCTCGGAGCAGATGGAGCTGCGCCGTGCCCAGTCACTACCCTCCGTGCCACTGTCCTGTGCCACCTACAGCGAGGCACTGCCCAGCTGGGTGCGCAACAACCTCTCACTTGGGGATGCGCTGGCCAAGTGGGAGGAGTGCCAGCGTCAGCTGCTGCTGGGTCTCTTCTGCACCAATGTGGCCTTCCCGCCGGATGCCTTGCGCATGCGCACCCCTGCCAGCCCCACCCCCACAGACCCCATGCCCCCACAGCACCCACCGGGCCTGCCTCCTTGCTGAGGGCCCAGCCTTCCCCAGCCCATGGGGCTCAGGTTTCCGGGACTGGCTGAGAACCCATCCTTGCCTCTTAGTTCTCTACTGTGGAGCAAGGAGACAGAACCCCTCACGGCCACAAAGAGGGGGCTTTGCTGTGAATCCCCCTCCATCAACTGCTCGCTCACTGCACTGAGTTTGGAGGGGTGTGGAGTGCCCCTTCTCTTGGGCTGCAGAGGCCCCTCCACCTGTGCCTTAATCCCCTACCCTTGCCTGCCCCTTCTCAGTGCAGGACTTCCCAGAGAACCCCACATCAGCTCCTCCCACCCATTTCCCCTGTTTTGCTCATGAATATGTGTGAAGAATTATTTATTTTTGCCAAAGCAGAAGTAATAAATGCCAGAGCTCAGCATCTACTTTCTTCACTTCTGTGTAATCTTCTTTCTTCATTCTGTGTAACTCCCTTGCCCACTTTTTTTAAATTTATTTTTCAGTTTTCAGTGGACACAACATCTTTATTTTATTTTTACGTGGTGCTGAGGATCGAACCCAGCGCCCCACGCATGCCAGGAGAGCACGTTACCTCTTGAGCCACATCCCCAGCCCCTCCCTTGCCCTCTTTTGCTTGGGGCCATGGTGGACAGAGCCTGCTTCCACCTAGCTGACCAGTGTCTCTACACAGGATGTCTGGCCTTCCAGGCTCACACTGTTGGACCTGACATTTGGGGCCTGCCAGCTGGGCCTGGGGCCTTCTCTTACACTTTGTTGAGGACCCCTATATATGCCCCCCACTTTGCCCTGAGACCTCCTGGCATGGCTTTCCGAGGGCCAAAGGACATATTTGGGTCCAAGATCCTTGCTGAATTAAAATGTTATAGAGTTGGACAGCTTAATAGCAGAGCTCTGGCCTGGCATGCACCACAGCCTGGATTCCATCCATGCACTGGGGGCGGGGGATGTTGACAAAAGGAGTCACCTGCCCTTCAGCTCCAGAGTGACAACAGGGCTGTTGCAGGAGGTAAAGCTCCTGGAGCTGAGGGCCCCTGCTCCACCTTGGGCATCTGGCCCCCCAGCATCACGAGCTTTGCTGGCCAGATGCACGGTCCCTCTTGTCTCCGTCTCTCTGTCTCCTGCCAGTATCTAGGAGGGACCTGGAATACTGAGGCACGGTAAGGTCCTAGCTGAAGGTGGCTTTGTTCCTGAAGTGATCCTTATCCAGAGGGAGCAGTTTAGGGCACAGAAGCCCCTGAAGAGAGGGTGTTGGAGTGGAGACCTGACTTAGCTGACTGTGAGCCTAGTTCTACCAGGCTCAGTGCCTACCTGCCCCTCCCAGTAGGCGTGGGTCAGTTGTGGTGGCAGCCCCCAGCCAACAATAACGGTGGTGGGACCTGGGGCAGCAGGACTGGGTGAGCCGGCCAGGCAGGTCCCTGGTCTGTGTGCCAGGGGCCACCCCCCTCTTGGTCTCCAGGTAGTGTCCTATAGGCCCAGCCTGTTGTTCCACTTGAGAAGCAGAGGCCACAGGGCCCCCAGCATTGTGTGACAATCAGGCCAGCACTCAGGTGGGTGCAGAGTCCAGGCTGGGGCTAGGGAGGACCCTTAGGAAGGGCCCAGGATTTCTTCCAGGCAGGAGCGCTGTGCTCAGCTCTGCCCCAGGGGAACCCTGGTGGGGGCTGTGCCCAAAAGGCATTCTGGGGGTGGGTGGCCGCTGATGTGACCTCTCTGCCCCACATTCACTCCCCTCACAGGGTGCTTAGTGCTCCGTTAAATGTCATTTTCTAGTATTATATGTTCATTGTTTTAAAATTTGAAAAAAACTAAATTGGGACTGCATTAGAGATAGCCTCTGAAAGAATTTGGTCCACTTCCTGCCGGCTTTTTCCTACACACTTTTTGGCGTCTTAAGTCTGGATCGGGTTGAAAGGTTGGTGTCTGCACTTTCCTGAGGGTCCCCAGCTGTGCCCCGTGGTTCTGCCTGGACAGCCGCTCAGGCTGCCAGGGATCTCTGGCCGCCAGGGCAGCAGGAGAGGCGGGAACACAGCGACAGCAGCCGGCGACAGCTCCGCCCGGGCCGGGCCACCTGGGGTCTCCGGTCCTGCGAGGCTGCAAGGCCAGCGCCCCCGGCGCGGTCGGGGTCCCAGCAGGGGCGGGGCGCGCCGCGCGTTTCCGGGAGGAGCGGCCCGCGCGCGGCAGGTGCGGCGGCGCAGCTCCCAGGTAGGCGCTCCCGGGTCCCGCGACCCGGCTCCCACCGCCGCGCCCTCGCGGCTCTGTCCTGGGCGTCAATTCGCGACCGCCGTGGCGGGCGCCGACCAGCGCTCCCAGTCGGGGGACGTCCGTGGCCCTCCTGGCGCGCGGCGCAGGGACAGGGCCGGATCGGCCCCCAGGGGTGCGGGCTGTGCGGGCGGCTCTCCAACCCCACCCGCTGGCCCTACCTCCTGCCTCCCTCTGGCCCAGCCTGGCCCGGCCACAGCGCCGCTTCCGGCTGGGATGGACCTCGGGTCGGTGCAGCCCAAGAGCCGGGTGAGGCGTTGGCGCTGCCTGGAGGACATGACCCGGATCCTGCCTGCCCCCCACCCCTCGCCGGGCGCTTCCTCCGACCTGCTGTCTTTGGAGATCGCCCCTCTTCTCAGGGACACTGGCCCGGGGTGGGGCGAAGGTGACAGGCTTGGGCTGAGGAGACACTAACCCCCAGCTAGAGTCCCAGGTCGGGCAGGTGTCTCTGGCCCTGCTGTACCTTTGAGAAATCCGGGTTGGAGGCTGTGAAAACGACAGGTGGCTCTGGTTAAGGGGTGGAGCTCTCTGGGAGGTGGAAGGGAGGCCCCAAGAGGTTCTCAGACTTGGAGGGCACAGGAAGGGTACTAGTGCTGTAGGAGGGGTGTTGCTGATTCGGGCTGTGGAGGCACGCGTGCCCAAGGCTGGGAGCTTACCATTGTGCCCCATGGGAACTGGTCATCCATGGGAGGGACCAGTGGGCAGGCAGGGAGGAGTTACCTGGCCTGCCAGCTGTCAGGAGGCCAGGGCATCACAGGCCAGGTCTGGGGCCAAGGATTTAGCTAGGATTGGCCCAGTCCTCCAACTCCAGCATGAAGTGGGCTCCTCCTTCACTGGACCTCTTTCTCCTCTGGCTGTCAGGAGTTCATAGGCCTCCTCATAAGGTCCCCTACAGCTAGCCCCTGGAACTGACCCTCTTTCCTCTCGCACTAGTTCCCCTGGGCATAGCCTTTCCTTGTGTTCCAAGGAATACCTGGTTCTGTGCTTGGTCCCCAGGTCTGCATCACTCCACCCGGGGGCACCCCAGGCTTGCAGCCTCCCTTACAAACACCAGTCCTCCCTGGGTGCCCTAGGCTCCCTCTCTGGCAGAGCCCTCAGGGCACGTGTGGCCCACTCCATGTCCCCCATGTCTTCTCTCTCTTGGTTTCTCAGCACCCAGCAGAGGCAAGGTTCCTGTTTTCATGGCTACTGGCAAGCCAGGGGCTGGGGAATCCCAGGAGGAGGAGGAGGAGGAGGGGGCCTCCACTGGACAGCAGGCTGCCATGCTGCAGCAGGCCCAGGAGCTCTTCTTGTTATGTGACAAGGAAGCCAAAGGCTTCATCACCCGGCAGGACCTGCAGGTGAGCACCAGTCACAAGAAGCCTCTGGGCCCAGGGCTGACCTGACCTTGGTCACTCACCCTGCCCTTTCTCTGCCAGGGCCTGCAGAGTGACCTACTCCTCACACCTGAGCAGCTGGAGGCTGTGTTTGAAAGTCTGGACCAGGCCCACACTGGCTTCCTCACTGCCCGGGAGTTTAGCTTAGGCTTGGGTGAGCTGGGCCTTACCCTCCCCCAGCACCCAGAGGTCCTGGTCTGGCTCATTGTGGGACTCTGGGCTGTATCTATACTCCCTGTAGATCCAGTGCACTCCCTGTAGATCCAGGGCACTCACTGTATCTACACTCAAGTGCCTGGGACCTCCACCCCCCAGACAGTAGTATATGACACTGATCTTTCTGCTCACAACCCCTTTCTGTCTCCTGCCAAACCCAGGTGGAGCTGGGAGCCTGGCTGTCACCTCCCATTCCCAGGCCAACAGGACTAGAATAAGGAAGAAAAACAGGAAACTGGGCCCTGAGAGAGGGCAGGATATGGCTGGGGGTGGGGGTGAGCAGGGGAGGGCCAGGGTGGTAACCCACAGTCCCATAATCTCTCCCTCCCATGTCTGCAGGGAAGTTTGTGGGGGTGGAGTTGGCTCAGGGCATGCAACCCTCCCGGACTACTGAGGAAACCTTTGAATCGGGCTGGTCAGATGTGCAGGGCACCAGGGGTTCCCTGGAGGAGGAGGAGCAGGAGGAGCAGGAGCAATTTTGCACTGCACTGGAGCAGCTGGGAGTGGCCCGGGTCTTGGGCAAGTGAGTGGATGCTAGCTTTGCTCCGGGTTCCTGCTTCTACTCTCTCCCGCTGCATGCTCTGTCCACGGTGACCACCTTTCTGTTCCCACGCAGAGTCCCTGGGCCTGATCAGGCCCAGCCATCTGTCAGCCGGCCAGGCGTGATTTCCCGCAGAATTTGCATTCCAGGACAAAGCAGTCTCAGCTTCGGGGAGGGGAGGCACTGGGCATGTGGCTACCCACATGCTGGGCTGTCCACATACAGTGACACTTCATGGTACCCAGCCACAGAACCCCGGGCAGGATGAGAGCACTCACACCTGAATGGAATGCGTTGCATGGGTCAAACTCCTGGGTTGCGGGGGTCTCCAGGGATCACCTGGTAGGCAGAGGGGAGCTACCCCTGCCCTCACGCACCAGCCTGGGCCTCAGTCTGCACTTGCCTGATTCAGGCAGCCGGCTGTGAGGGCACTGTGGGCCCAGCTGCAGCGCGAGAGACCAGAGCTGCTGGGTTCTTTCGAGGAAGTTCTGATGCGAGCATCGGCCTGCCTAGAAGAGGCAGCCAGGGAGCGCGAGGGCCTGGAGCAGGCACTGAGGCGGTGAGAGTGGGGCCGATGCGGTTCTGGGGCCCCAGTACAGGGGTAGAGGCAGGGCCGGCACGTTCTCAAGGCTGTCTCATCCTGGGCTCCAAAGGCGGGAAAGCGAGCATGAGAGGGAAGTGCGTGGCCTCTATGAGGAGCTGGAGCAGCAACTCCGAGAGCAGCGGCAGCGCCGCAGGCAGAGCCAGGTGCGGGTCCTCTCAGCCTAGCTAGCCTCCCTGGCTCCGCCCTCCTCAAACTGGTCCCTCCCCCAGGGTTCCCCAACTGCACGGGCACAGGCTGCCCCAGCGCAGGGTGCCCTGTTTCTCCTCTCCCAGCGGCCCCACCAGTCTTCACCCTTCCATGGCCCACCCTGGCCCCATCCTACCCCTCCGCTGCCTCTTCTTCGAGGCCAGAGAAGGCTTAGATGCCCCGGTGTGTTCCAGAACCTACCCCTGGAGGAGCGAAGGGGGCATCTGGAGCTGGAGCTGCAGAGCCGCGAGCAGGAGCTGGAGAGTGCTGGCTTGCGGCAGCTGGAGGTAAGTAGTTGGACCCCAAATTAAGCCCCATCCCACAGTCTCCCCTGCAGTCCCAGTTTCCTCAAGGGTGCTCTTGTGTCTCAGTGCTGCCAACCCTAGAGATGTTGGGGGTGAGGGGCAAGTGAGGGATCTGGGGGCCTTCACCAGCCCACACCGTTTCCCCAGCTGGAACGGCAGCTACAGGCCCGGGCTGCAGAGCAGCTGGAGGCGCAGGCCCAGAACACCCAGCTGCGGCAGGCTTGTGAGGCACTGCATGCACAGCTGGAGGGGGTGCAGGAGCAGCTGCACAGACTGGAGGGTGATGCTCGGGGCCGCCAGGAGCAAACACAAAGGTACAGGGCTGGTTGGTTGGGGCCTTGGCTTGCTAGGCTCAGGTTGGGCCACTTATATCCCCATGCCAAGATCTAGTGCTGCCCCCAGGGTCTGGGGAGTAGGGGTGGAGGGAGGGACTTCTGGGAGGGCCCTGCCTGCATGGGTCACCATTTCCTACCCACAGAGACGTGGTTGCAGTCTCCAGGAACATGCAGAAAGAGAAACTCAGCCTCCTACGGCAACTAGAGCTGCTCAGGTGCAGTCGGGCCTAGGCCAGTGGTAGGACAAGGGCTCAACAGAGCTTCGGAGGGGTATCCAAGCTCCCAAATACTCTTGGCCTCCACCTCATCCCACTGGGAGGAGTCCCTCCTCATGTCTACTCTCCCTCCCTCCAGCATCCCTACGTCCCACCAGGCACCTCTCTTCTGGTTTGAGGAGAGCCAGAACCCACCTTCCCACCTTGGGTTGCTCCCTCTTTAAGATCTTAGATTGCTTAGGGTTCTCAGCCCTCCCACTTCCCCTTCTCTAGGGAGCTGAATGCACGGCTTCGAGACCTACGAGATGAGAGAGAGACCTGTGAGGCCAGGCTGCTCAGAAGCAGCCACAAGAAGGCTCTGGCCACAGCCCGCTTGCCTGGGCCCACCTGCTGCTGCTGTTGCAGCTGGGCTAGGCCCCCCAGACGTGGGTCTGGCCACCTTCCCAGTGCCCGATAACCAGCTCCAAGTGACTCCCTTGGCATTACCTGGAGGAGCTGCCCCCTGAAGGCTATTTGTCTTGGGAGGAGGCCTACCATTCAGGGTGTGGGCTCTAGCCCACAAAGACATGCAGGAACTAACCTGTGGGTGGTAAAGGTCTCAAGGGTCTCATGTGCCCCTGCCAGGTGTGCCCTTGCCAATACTTATCCTGTTCCCTTGTCCCAGCAAGGGAAAAACAAGCAAAACAAAAACTCCTGTAACGTCCACTGCGTGTGTTCTTCTTGGTTTTCTGTGTCTGGGAGATGCAGCATATGTGTGCTTTACAATGAGGCGTCCTTGGCACACCATGACATGTGAGAGGTACCCAAGACCCTGCTCTTTTGGGGCTGTGTGTCCTTGGCCATGCTTCAAGCCCCTTTTCGTTTCGAGCCACATCCCCAGCCCTGAGCAGCCCCCTTTTCACCAGGGAGCTGAGTGGCTTCCCACCAGCCCAGCTGGTCTGCCAGGTCATGGGCCCACTCCGCTAGAACCTCCAGGCTGGGCCAGCATCTGTAAAACCGAATGGGGGCTGGGCCTGGGGACTCCAGGGCCTGGGGACTCGGGTCCTCCTCCAGGGGGCAGTCTGGCGGGCCGCCCCCACCTCCCGCCCCTCGCCCAGCTCCTCTCTCGGGGTCGGGCTTGTCAAGGCTCTGAGTGTCCCGGAGCCGCGGCTCACCGGGCCCGCCCCCGATGCCCGGTCAGCACCGCCGCCTCCCGCCCGCCGAAATGCGTCCGGACCTGCCCGGCGTCGGCCGGCTGTGGGCGTGGCCGCAGGCGGGGCGGGGCCTGTCCGGCCTGCGGCCGCGCATTCTCCGCACGGGGAGCCGCCGCCCCCGCAGCCACCGCCCGGGCCCGGACTCCGTCGCGTGGTCGGTGAGTGTGCGGCGGAGCCGGCCCGCCCGAGCGGGGCCCAGGGCGCCCCAGGTCCTTCGTGCTTCTGTGCCGGAGGCCGCCGCTGGCGCCCGGGGGGCCGCGTCCGCCGGACACCTACGCAGCCGGTTCCCAGGCCCCTTCCGGAGGGAGGTCGCTGGCGCGCGCCGGGCGGGAAGGGCGCTGGGCGAGGCAGGGCGCCTCCGGGGTTCTCGGACGGGCACGGCAGTCCCTGGGTGCAGGACCCAAAACGTGCAGCCCGAACGCCCCACTCCTGGTCCCTGGACCGCGGTCTCCTCCCCTCGGCTCGCCCACCGCCCGGCGCAAGTGGGCGGGGCCCGTGGTCGCGCCTGGGCTGGGGGCGTTGACGCCAGCGACTTCTTCGCGGTGACGCGAGGCTTCCTCCCGGTCGGCTGGGGCCGAGTCCCGGCTCCCCGAGTGTGGCGGGACGTGGAGGGCCGGCCGCAGGAACTGTTTCCGCTGGCCGCGGCCCCCGCCGGCCCTTTCTCCCGAGGTCCACAGGGCACTTCTGGGAGGAGGGGCCGCTGCCCTCTGCCGGTGCGGGGCGGCGCGTGTGCCCAGAATCGGCCGCCCCAGGAAGCAGGGGTCCCCGGAGCCCGGCCCAGGGCTGGCGCGGCTGCTGGGGTTATTTACACCACTCTCCAGGGACAGAGCCTGTGTTTGGGCCCCAGCTCAGCGGTGCTTTGTGTCCCCGTCCCACAGCTCAGAGGTGGAAGTCTGTTGACACCTCCGCCAAACCCAGGGGTGGAGATCGGTGGCTCTCTCCGTCCGCAGCTGCTGCTGCCTGGTGGGGGAGGGGCAGTGACCGGTATGGAGCTAAGGCCTAGCGTGGGGCACCTGGAGACCTGAAGTTCCTCTCAGGACCAGACTGCCCAGAAATGTCCTCTGCCCTCACATCCCACCCCGCCCCTTCCCAGACCAAAATACTGGGCCTGATCTCCTCCCTCTGCCTCTGGAGTAGATCTGACCCACTGTCTGAGCCACCAGGAAGAGTCTGGGCAGGATCCTGCAGTGAGGGCAGACCTGTGACCTGTTCTCTGCTCCTCTCTAGCTCAGCGTCCTGGGGAACTTCTGTACACCTGTCCTATAGAGGAGTCATTCCCAGACAGCCTGGTGAGTGCTGGGCGGGGCAGACTGCAGGTCGTGTCTGGAAATTTGGCCAGCTGTGTCTAAACCCCAGGCTCTCCCTGTGCAGATACTGGTGTGAGCAGGGCAGGTGTGCCTGGGCCTCTAGGGAGGAACATGGCCACTTCTCTGTTCCTTCATTCTCCCTGTCCTGGTGGGAGCAGAGGCTGTGCAGAGCACCTCTGTCAGGGCTGAGCTCCCGGATCCTTGACTGCCTCTGGGGACTTATCTCTAAGTGTGAGGTTCCTGCCAGTCAGTCTGTGACGTGGAGCCCGGGAATGCTGGGGGAGGGGTCAGCTGGGGCCTCCTCCCCTGGCTGCCAGCAGGGGTGAGTCAGTGAGTGATGGGCTGGGTTTCTCTGCCGCCCATGGGGTCTGCCTGGCTGCTTGGGGGTCAAGTCTCCTGAGCTGTGATCCAGGAAGTGATTCATGCCCTGGTTGCCAGGGAGGCTCCTCCCCAGGCCTCCCAGGACAGGTGGCTGGATCAGCCTCAGCTGGGCCTGTGCCTCTCAGTGCCTTCTCCCTCATCCCCACTGGCGTGTGGCCACCCTCCTAGTCAGGGCCTGATGCTGCAGGCCCTCTGACCCCTTCACGCCTCCCCAGCCCCAAGATGGGTGAATTCAACGAGAAGAAGGCGACATGTGGCACTGTCTGCCTCAAGTACCTGCTGTTCACCTACAACTGCTGCTTCTGGGTGAGTTGGGTGCCGTGCTGCCCACCCAGCACTCCCTGGGCCTTGAAGGCACCTGAGCCCTGGCCTAGGGGCTCAACTGGGGGCTCTCAGACTTGGGCTAGGTGTGGTGACTGGTGCACATGCCTACAGCTGGCTGGATTGGCTGTCATGGCAGTGGGCATCTGGACGCTGGCCCTCAAGAGTGACTACATCAGCCTACTGGCCTCAAGCACCTACCTGGCTACTGCCTACATCCTGGTGGTGGCTGGTGTTGTCGTCATGGTGACCGGTGTCCTGGGCTGCTGTGCCACCTTCAAGGAGCGGCGGAACCTCCTGCGCCTGGTCAGCGGGGCATGGCAGCATTCTCGTGGGGTGGTGGGCACAGGGTCCTGGTCAGGGGCTCCTCTCTATAGTCTCCTGGGACCGTCTCTGGGGCCCTGATGGTTTAGTGTCACTGTGGGCTGGCCCCGCTGTGCTGGCAGGGGGCCACAGCCCCCAGCTCCAGCTAGACTGAGACACCAGCTCCACCAGGAATGCTGGGGAGCCTGGTGCCTGGCCCACACCTACTGCTTGGAGCTGGTAGGTGCCCTGCTCTGTGGTGCCTGGTGCTGAGCCCCTCACTGGGTCCCTGCCCCCCAGTACTTCATCCTGCTCCTCCTCATCTTTCTGCTGGAGATCATTGCTGGTGTCCTGGCCTACGTCTACTACCAGCAGGTGAGAGGGGCTTGGATCGGCCTTGGGAGATATGTGTCGTCTCTACCCCTGCTACTCCAGCACTGACCAACTTGCCATTAGGTCCTGGAGGCAGGGTGTAGGCTTTTAGGGAAGGGTGGCCACAGGGGCAGGTGACGTGCCTGCAGTGCCCAAGGTGTCCAGGTATCCGGAGATTCCCTTCTACCCATGATCCCCTTCTAACATGATACCCATGTTCCTCCAACCAGCTGCTGTGAGACCCTAGTGCTTCCCTTGCACCCTGGGGCCTTTGTCCTGTCCTGGGCTCTCTCAGCTCTCTACCTTTGAGGTCTTAACTGACACTCCCTCCCTTAGCTGAACACAGAACTCAAGGAGAACCTGAAGGACACCATGACCAAGCAGTACCACCAGCCAGGCCATGAGGGTGTGACCAGTGCTGTGGATAAGCTGCAGCAGGAGGTGGGTGTTGCCTGCAGGGGATGTGCCTGTGCCCTTGGGGCTGTCCCTGGCAGGCCCCACGAGCTCAGCTCTTCTTGTTGTAGTTTCACTGCTGCGGCAGCAACAACTCCCAGGACTGGCGTGACAGCGAGTGGATCCGCTCGGGTGAGGCCGGTGGCCGTGTGGTCCCCGACAGCTGCTGCAAGACGGTGGTACCTGGCTGTGGGCAGCGGGATCACGCCTCCAACATCTACAAGGTGGAGGTGGGTCACTGTGAGCAAGGGGCTGGCCTGGTGCAGGGTGGTGGGGTTGTTGGGCCACACCTAGGACACGTCTGTGGGGAGCTGGCAGGGCTCACCTTGAGCACCCCCCACTCTGACAGGGTGGCTGCATCACCAAGCTGGAAACCTTCATCCAAGAGCACCTGAGGGTCATCGGGGCCGTGGGCATCGGCATCGCTTGTGTGCAGGTTTGGGCATAAGGGCGACTATGGGGAGCTGGGGGAGGGCTGCTACCCTGAGGTGCTGTCTCATGCCTGCCTGACCATCTGCAGGTCTTTGGCATGGTCTTCACGTGCTGCTTATACAGGAGCCTCAAATTGGAGCACTACTGACCACCAGGGTTTGGCCTGGCTACTGGCCTCCTGCTGCATCCCACCTAACTACTGAGCTGACTACTGAAGGCCAGGACAGAGCCCATCTTCATGTCTGTGCCCTGCATGCCACCACCATCACCTCTGCTGACTTCACCCTGGGGGTGGCTTCAAGTGCCTTTTTCCTGAGGCGTGGGGCAGGGTCCCTCCCCCAGCATAGGGAAGATAGGGTTAGTCTACCTGTGTGGGGCTTGGGGCCCAGGCCTGGCAGGTAGGACGAGACCTAGGTTCTGGTAAGAGTACCCCCTCCTCGATTCCTGGGCAAGTCTGAGAAGAACCTAGACCCACCCTCTACACCATGGGTGGTCAGAGGCAGGTGGTAGGGGCCCTGCTGAAGGTGCCCAGAGGTACAGGGGCTGCAGGGCGGGACCAGGAGCCCTTTGTGCTGCCCTGAGAGCTGTAAGGCCCAATCAGCCAGAGCCTGGCTTAACTCTTGCCACTGCTCTTTAACATCGCCTTCACAAAGTGTGCTGCATCCCAGTCAGAACGTCCCTGCGAGAGTAGGGTATTACTGGTTTTATCCACTGCTGTATCCGAAATGCCTATAACTATTCCTGCCACATAATGGGTGCTCAATAAATGTTTGTTGAACAGCTGGGTCAGCTTACTGTTAGCGACAGGATAATCCTGTCCTCAGTGCTCTTTTGTCCAGAGTGGAGACACCTACCTGCTGTGTCCAGAGGGCAGGAGCCAAGAGCCTCATACCCAGGGTCCAGGGTGGCCAGTGTGTTCCTGGAACACACTGGAAGGGGAAGCCCAATGGTAAGAACCCCTTCAGGAGGAAACAGAAGCAGACCTGTGTGGCCTGAGTCTTGCCTTCTGGACACTTGGGGGAGCTTGGAGGTAGAAGCTAAGGATCAAGTCAGGCCTACTAGGATCAGAAGGCAGGAGAGGCCCAGGTCTGGCAGAATGTAGGGGGATGCTCCTCCACTATTGGGGCCACCCTAGCTCCTATCCCTAAGGTCCCCAGAGGCCCTCATGTCAGATGTCTGGGCAGCTAATGACTGGCCCAGAAGGAGAGGCTTAAAGAGCTGCTTCCCATACCTCTGCAATCACATACCCTTAGCCCAGACTGGCTGAGGCATCTACCCGTCTTAGCTCAGCCTGGACTGATGACCAGAAGCCCCTGGAGCACCAAGTGCCAACACCTGGGTGCTGGGAACCTCCTCAGAGCCCCTCACCCCAGCTGTGGACGTTGGGTGCTGTCCCTCCCCTGGTTTTTGGTGGAGCCTGAGAAATTCTGGAGCAGAACCTCAGGTGCAGGCAGCACAGGGCCAGGCAGCCATGACTGTAGCAGACACTGTCTAGGTTGGTTGACAATAAAACACCCCCTCCCACAGGCCAGAAAACCTGGTTCTTTAGATTCTGGGAGAAGGTGGTAGGGTCTCTGTGCCTGGAATGTCAGGGTGGAACACCAGGTCCCCCGAGCTCTCTTGGGTATCAGGCTATGGGAAGCTCTCCCTCCTCCTGGGCATCAAGGAAGGAATCCACCCCCTCCCACCTGGAACAGGAAGGAGAAGAGGCACCAGGTGGGTGACTATTGGAAGGCTTGTGGGTCTGACTTGCCTAGTGGTCAAAGGGGCCAGGGCCCAGCCAGCCAAGGGCTCTGCTGCAGTGTAAGAGAGTGGGCTGAGTCTTCACACAGGCAGGAGACATGACAAAGGGACCTCCCCAAGCCAGGCCAATCAGCAGGACACCTGGGTAATTCTTAAGACCTTTACTGAACTTTCCTTCCAGCATGGGGGGCATGTGGCTGAGGCCATGCATTGTTGCCACCCACAGACACCTCAGCTTGATGAACTTGGCGTGACACTGTCCATATCAGTAGAGCAGGAATGCAGCTCCATGGCTACTTCTCCAGTGGTGCGTAGTTGAGCAACTTCTCAATCAGGTCCACGTGTGCCAGCAGCATTCGGCGGCAACAGTAGCGCTTCAGGCCCAGGGCATCCAGGGCGTCCCTGTGCCAAGGGGAGGAGTAGTGAGACTGTGGTCCCCACAGGTCTGGAGCCACAGCCAACCTCTCTGGGCACTGGTGCCTGCTCATTTTACCCTCCTGCTAAACAAGGTGGACAGCTCCACCTGGACTGGAGCTGAGACCTTACAGCAGGATCCCAATGGGCCTCTTCTACCACCTACTCAGAGGTCACACCCACCCCACCTTTACCTGCCTTCTGCATGTTTCTAAAGCTGGTACCCAGGACTGAGGCAGCTCCTGGGGCTTCTGAACAGCCGGAGGGGAGCTTTGTGGACCAAGGCCCTAACCAAGGTGCCAACTCCTCATCTAGCTCAGGCCCCACAGGGCAGGTTCTGCGCAAGACAGAGATCAGTGGCCCTGTGGAGCTCTGCTCATCCTGGCAGGCCTCAGCAGACAGGAAATAAACTGTGGAATCTCTCCCCAGCCCTGCTCCCCAAGTAAGAGAGAAACTATCTCCTCAGGAACCTCCCTCTCCCATTTCACAGCCCAATTACAAGTCTCAGTTTCCCCAGGACTTAGTCATTCTCAGGCTTTGGAAAACTTCCCACACCACTGGCTTCAATGCACAGAGATGGCAGCTTGGGAAGGGGCAGGCCTCCCGGATACTTCCATGCTGGTCACTCTTGCAAGCTTTTCAGCCTGCACACTGACTCTTGTATGACATGCAGGCACAGTGAGCCCCAGGGCTTTACAGGAGACCACAAGGTGGCAGGTAGTCAAACTCTGCCTCAAAAGTCCGGGATGGCAGTTAAGTACTCAGGAAAAAAAATCTGTTTTGCATCTTAATGGATCAGCAAGGTTTACAGGAGAAGAAGTGGGCTTAACAGAGAAAGGAAGTAGGGAGATCTTTGCTGCAGATGAAAAGGTGCTTGTGACCTACAGGGAGATACCTAAAAGTCCCCAAGACACCCACTGCTCACCCTGCAGAGGGTGACACTCTCCAGAGAGGAGATGGACAGCTGTTCTGAAAGAGCCAGGACCTTGAAAGCCTGACAGGAGCTTCGGTCACACCGCCCGCCCTCTCCCGGGAGCGGGTGACCCCGGGTCGCTGAGCCCGTCTCCCTCTCCCCGTTCTCCCGGTCTCCGGCCACACCGCCCCGCTCTC